TGTAGTTTAATAATACTAAATATTTATTACGAACAACTCTCCTTCAATTAGCTTTTCGGAAATCAAACCTACAAATCACGTTGCCAATTAACGTTGACGTGACTTTGTTTAATATACCTTCACAGGTTCGCTAGTACTGTTTGTTATGTATTTGTTTTAAAACTCTGATATCACTCTGTGGCTGTCACATACACATATATCGTTCTTCTGTGGAGATAATTTCGCATGAAATACCTTTCGATAAATTCTACGAAACTGGAAGGATCGTAACTGTCACGTGATTGTGAGATGCAAATTATTAGACTTGTTGGGGAAAAAACAGAAAATTAGTAATCGCTCGATATAGCAGTATCTCTACCCTGTTATTTTAATGGGTCATGTACCTGTTAAATAACACACTAGTAGACAACCTCGTCAGAACAGCTTTTAAATAAATAAACCAACCGATCCCACTGGCTTTCAAGTTTATGGCTAATAGTGAGTGCATTCTCTTAAAATGTTTCTGACGTCAAAATTGCATGTAAATTAAGATGTTTTTGATACAAGTTCAATTAGTTCAATTTTAAGAGCCCCCGGTGGGGAAAAGCACAACCATCGCTTAACATGAACTAATTGTTTGTATTGTAGTACTACAGACTCGAAAAAGTGTTTTGATCAAAGTATCTATCGTCCTTTATATCATATCGTTGAATGCTGTCGTTTTAACAAATGCCATATCTTATATGCCATCGCAGGCAGAATCACATGTACTCAGAGACAATGTAGCACACGCTACCAGGGAACGATGATTTGCCCTTGCAATAGTCATACATATCCCTAGTAGTTCATTATACGTTCTTTACGTACATTATCTATAATATCCACAATTACAGCTCCGATAAATGAAAGTAACATTTAACGGTCGATCAGTGATCCATGATCAGTTCGTAAATGGTGTGCTCAATTTCAATAAAGTACATATATCAGGTGTTGTTTGCATACGTGCCTAATTCCATTTCATTCACGGAGAGTAGAAATTGTTAATTTTGCTCATGGGACTGATTTCGAAATCAGTCAGCCTGTGCACACATCCAAAGACATGTCCGTGAATGTCAAATAATACCGAACTTATGCTCTAGCAGAAACAGGTCATTAATTCCCATTCCTGATGTTCGTTTCAAAGTAATGTATTTCATCCGGCTGAGACACGGAAATTAACATCCGGCTAACACATTATGCGTTTTCAGAAGTGTAGTCATTTTGTGGCATATGTGTGACTTATAAGACCGCAAAATTGAGTTCGACAGTAACAAAGACGGCCAATTGCTCTATACATACAATATCTGTTTCGTTGGGAGTTTCGCAGGTTCCTGTTCTGAACTATTGTGCTTTACCGCGACTACAAACACTTACGACTTTTGACTGTGTTTCGCGCATTGAAAAAAGGTAGACAGAGAAGAAAAAGGTGGAACTACGTCGATGTCATACAAACATTTTCAGCACCAATAACTTGCAATACCAATTTGTTCCATTTCCCATTCGTTAACTAGTTATCCCCACGTTAACGCAACAAACTTCTTCTTATTGATTTTGTACCCGCCGTTTTCAGACTAACAACAACTGCAACCAACCACAATTTAATTCAAGTCATAATTCAACAAAATAACAATACACAAAATGGCAGACACAATTGTACTTTAATATGTTTGCAAGCACTTTCCCGCAAAGAATTGTGCATTTCAAATTGCAGAATACCAAACACGTACACCAGAAATATAGGTAGTCATGTGATCGTCAGCAAACGAGAAACTGAGAATTAGTCACTGTAAATAGTGTACCTGCTTGAGGGCGTATCACCCGCATTGTGTTTCAGCGACGCGATAAGTACTCCTATATCTCTCCGTGCGCACATAAAATAAATATTTATGTGACTTCCATGACCGAATACGCAAATATATACAGAGGACGTTGGCCGGCACAATACACTGCCGAAGTTTGAATAATAGTATTGCGCATAAACTGATTATGATCCGTCTTCCGCCTTTCATTTCAAGTGGAAAGCACAATCCCAATTGTCCGATGTGGATACACATTATATATTATATTCCCATCCCTGCATAGCTCATTCCATCATCACCGTTGAGACTCATTGTAAGGCCCATTATTATACCCATTATAACCCATGTTGTACTATATAATTACAAAGCTATACAGGGTGTGCGATAACGA